GCTCGCATGCAGGTGTTGGGCGCGGTTTCTTTTTTTCGGTGCGTGCTCTGTGGCCAAGAGCAGTCGACCTCCCGGGGTCTTGAGAGATCGGTGCTCAACAGCCCACGCGACGTACCGGGCCGCGACTGCGCGCTAAGATCATGCAATGCTGGAGAGTTGCGACAGAGAGAGACCCTCCGCGTTCAGAGGTTTGATATTAATTTTGATGGAGCGACTTCGCGGTAAAGTCGGGGATCTCGTTTGCTACAACGCTTGGCGAGCGCCTCGTCGATACGAGGTCGACGCGTTGAGGGATCGCGTTTTAACCTCGGGCTCAGCGTGCTTCTTCATCATGACGAACTATCGCCGCCTTTGCGTTGCGGGTCGTCTCCTCCCATTTCCTGGCATAATGGCGGGCAGGCACATCGACCGTGCCGTGTCGGAGAGATGGAGTGACGTAAAAGATCAGGGAAGAGGAGAAATATATAGTGTGTCGTAGAAAGCTGGAAGCTTACAAATAGGGTTCAGGTTAAATTGAGGACGACGCAGAGAGAGATGGAAAGGAAAATTACAGGTGTATCCTCAAGAGACAAGAAGAGAGCAGAGCAGAATGAGTCAGGGAACAAACCGGGGTTAAGGATATCATAGTTGAAATGAAGACGAGGAAATGGACATGGGCCGGGCACGTAGCGGCACGTAGGCACGATAACCGCTGGTCATTAAGGGTAACTGACTGGATTCCCAGACAAAGCAAACACACGAAGGGGAGACAGAAAGTTAGGTGGGCCGATGAGATTAAGTTTGCAGGTATAACGTGGCAACGGAAAGCACAAGACCGGGTTGATTGGTGGACCACAGGAAAGGCTCTTCACCTGCAGTGGCCGTAGTCAGGTGGCTGCTGCTGCTGATTATGATGATGATGATGCAGGACTGAGACAGAGAGAGGAAGGTGCGATAGCGGTTATATTTAATCGTACTGTCGAGCATTAAGTTACGATAAGCCATAACTGATCAGCACAGCTAATTGGGCTAGTTAGATGCAGTTATCTGGGCGATAACCCATCAATGACCATACAGCTATTATCTTAGTAAATCCACAAACCACCTTTTGGATTAGACAGGCCTGTCTAACTTACATTTTCTGCTTACGCAGCCAATTCCCAATTACGATGTCACGTCACGTTTGTTTATAAACGCGAATGAGGTCAGCTCCCACGCGTATCTTTCCCGTTTCGGACGGAAACTGACCTGTCGCTACGTCACTTCGGCCGGCGTAACGCCTTTGTACGAAAAATTGAGCAAAGGACCGTTATTAATTAATTTATTTATTCAGTTGCTAGCCCTAATGCTTTCTTATTGAATCTCGCACAGATAGAGGACGCTCTTTCGCAGCAGTCCTTCGTTTACATGAATGCATTGCGTGGAAAATAAGTTGCGACATGCAGCCAACTTTAAAATGCGACAGGAAAGTCCACAAAGTGACACTTTCAAGCAGGGCATAATATGCATGCAGCAGCGACCGCTATAATACTCCTTCGCCGTGTACAAGGTAGGCAGGGTGAAGTAAAACCGTGCAGAGCATGTCGAACCCGAATCCACGTTCACTATATGCCTCCATGTTTTCGAACTGTCTCAGAATATGGTGAGGGTTAGCCGCTTAATAAACAGTCAATCGCAACGTGATCTCGCGCACGTGCGCAGCTTGCAAAATCGTCACTGTATGGGCGGACATTGGTGGCATAGCAGGAATTTTTTCGCGAAGGTGAAAAACACTGCCGCAGTTTAAGTAAGGTAAGACGGCTGTGTATATACCGACTCCGACAATATTACGCCGCGATACTACGGCTCGCGTCAGGCATCGGAAAGATATCACCTAATCGAGCCTTCGTCCAATACAGTCTCCTATATGTTGCCTATTGAAACGTCCGGAGAACCAGGCACAGCACAATGGACGAACCCGTCTTTTCAGTCTCGCACGCAGCGAGGTTTGTGACAGGGCAGCAATTGCTTCCTTCCGTTCGATTTTGTTTCCTTCCTTCTTAATGATCAGCAGATCACATCCGACTAATTAGAGCGATCCAGTATAGGCATGTCAACGCTAAAATCCCCCTCAGAACCAGGTAAAATTAAGTAAGGGGTTTTAATTACGTGCACCTAAACCACGATTCGATTGTATATACGGACCATCGCACAGGTAACCGACATCGAAATGCACCTGCATTATGTCCAGCAGAACACAGTCACTGTACAGTTTATACATATTCCCGTGCCACACTAACTGACTCATACCAATATGTAGTGAGCAGATGTATCCGGATACATCGCATCGGAAGGGGATCACAAAAAACTTACCGAGGAATTTTCGATATATAAAAAATATTCTATATATAGAAACTATGTGAAGAGTACTTTAGAACAGTTCGATATAACGCAATAATTCGTTACATGTAGATTCGATATATGCGGGTTATACAGTATACAGCACTCAATGCAATGCACGGAACTGTCGAAGCAGAGGGCGCGCATACTCGCGAGATGCGATTGCTGTAGTTGCGTATTCACGTTTCGCGGCGCACGTGTCGACCACGGCTCCTTAGGTTGCAGTTCACCTCGACGGTGCGCGTTTCCGTCAAGTGCCGGCGCGGGAGCCCAGATGGCGCGACGATTGCCGCAACACTCGCCGCCGATTGGCTGCCTCCGAGCGCGGCTCCTGCCGAGCCGTGTTGCGCATGAATGCGTTCGCAGGATTGAAGAAACACACACACCTTCGAATCTTTTTCCGTCCATCAGAAATGTGTCCTTCTTCCGTTTCCTCGCACCTCTTTGGCAGAAAAACGTCGAGGAATGGGGCGTCGGCAAGAATGTAAAAAACGACGTTTGGGCGAACTGAGGCGGAATGATTAAACCTGGAGCTAAACTGAAGAACGTGCGCTTACGAAATTGTATGCGCGTTTCGTGAAGTTGCTCTCTTCTGTCACAGAAGGGTATATGTGATTGATTGATATGTGGGGTTGAAGGTCCCAAAACCACCATATGATTATGAGACACGCCACCTAGTGGAGGGCTCCGGAAATTTCGACCACCTGGGGTTCTTTAACGAGCGCCAAAATCCGACAGAAGGATATCTAATGCCTATTGCAGCTGAGAAAGCGTCGGTTGCATTTGTGTCCTAAAAACGTAGTATTTTGTAGACATTATTTAATCATATTCATATAGTGGCCGAACTACAGTATATTAAGAGCGGTAGTTTTTGAAACACAGTGACAATAAAGCTGAACGACAAATTTAGAAGAAAAAAAACTAAACGCGTGCCCAGAGTAAGAAAGTGCTCCGTTTTGAATAACTTCTCTTTGCAAGCTTTTTTTTTCCAGTGCTAAAAACGAAGTTCAAGTGTCATGTTTTACATTTGCAGGTGTGACCCATTACAGCGTATGGCGGCTCGGGAATTATATATATCCTATCGAGACGGCCTGAATTTGTTGCTCACATTCGGCGGGTATCCAATGCAGGATGATAATGCTGTATCAGTGCAGAACCTGCGATACAGTATATAGTGGAGCAGGTGGGCCCCCATATGGCCCTCTCACATCCTGTATCAGTGCAGAGTCGAACCATACGAGTCGCTCCATATGAGAGACAGCTATACATACCTTCCATCTTACAAGAACTCATTCCAGTGGCGTCATATGCCAGCACCCCTATCTATCTCACAAGTGCGCCGTTATGTGCGATTTGCTGGGGATAGCAGAACAAGGACAACAGCAACACAAAAATGCGACCAGTCGGCAATGCGCTTGACATGTGTTTCGCCCGGTTTCGGCACCGCCGAATCAGCTTATCTGTGCGTGGCCCCGGATAGTCTCGAAAGAGTCCGGTGAACGCCCGATGATCCGAGCGCGTATACACTGAGGCACCAAACTCCTATGCGCGTTTGAGTAGAAAAGGAGCGACCTACAGAATCACGACCTTTCCATGCGGTGCGTTCGTGCTGCTGTTGCGTCTTGTGCGCTCGACGCCAGCCGCAAGGGGGCGCGCGATTAAACGACCTTGTTGCTTCGCGCGACACCACGCTTTTGACCTGTTAGCCGCGTCAGTATGCGGTGCAGTCATCGAGCGCAGGCGCACATATATAAACACCTATGGGAGGCCTTTATCTCGTCTCTGTGTCTCTCTGTGCCTTTATGTCCGCGTACATTGCTTCTTTTTTGCTTGTTTCTTCAGCCCACAACCAATAGGTGCTGCGGCGTTCCTCGGTCGTTTGTATCTGTACGCGCCTTGAATACCAATGGCGCGGATCGTGCTGTGTATACCTAAACGATGTTGCTCAATACATAGGCCTCCTTTTCACATTGGAGGTGAACGAGCAAACAGGGTCGTGACAAAGCAGCGCGAAACAAAAGGAAAGCTATATCTCTGGTAAACGAAAGAAAAAGAAAAATCCAAGAGACACGTAGAGAGAGAGAGAGAGAGAGAGAGAAAAGAAGAGAGAATGCAAAAGATGTGTGTATATAGTAACTACATACGCTTTGCCTTTGCCTTAAATGGCCAAATGCATCAGCGCGTATCGACTGCTTCGATCTACTGCAACAGTGTCCGTGTCTGAGTCCGAGTATGTCAAGCGAAAATGCTGCTACACAGAATTGTATAGCTGAGAACTGTCGAATGATAGCATCATAATTCCCGTAATACCGTAACACTGTATGCCTGTCGAAACTGTTCAGCACGAAACCTGGGGCTATTAGCAGCAGTCCAAACCAGCAGGTATTATAAGCAGTATACCGTACAAGGCACGGGGCGGATCAGCTTCCGTGAACTGTCGGAAACTAGCATGTCCGGCACATATCCGAATCAATGTCCACTATATAGGGACAAGGTTCAATCCACGGCCACGGTGCACGCGTTAGCTTTCGGAGCGAGCCCGTTCTGGCTCGATGTTCATGGCGATCCTGTGGTGCGACGCCATGACAGGCATGACGTGAGTGAAATGGGGGGTCCTGAAAAAGAAGGCGAGGGGCACTCACCAGGAGCGTCGGAGGGCACCCGCGGAGACTTCGGGCTGCACGATAGTCGCATGAGCACCATGGCGGCCATGCAGTCGTCCATGGTGTCCGCGTCCTCACTGGCACTGGGCCGCCTCTTGCGGCCGCTGCAATCGAGAGAAAAGGAGGAGGCACAGTTAGCATTGTGCGGCCGCGGAGAAACACTACACACACATGCCGCAGCGCGGTTATGCAAGCAGCACGGCGGAAGAAGGACGACGGCGATGAGACCGCGGCCTTTCTGTCGGGCGGTCCCCTATAATCTTTCCGTCTGGACGGCTCTCCAATGCCGCCGCGCGGTGGGTGCGAACGTCAAGGTGGCTTCACCGCGCAATAGCGGCGACCTATACTCGTGGGTGGACAAGCGTGACCTCGCCCGGACGTCCGCGGAATGGGAACCAAGGTCGCAGATTTGACCGCCGCCATTGTAAGACTCGCTTTACGCCTTTCAGCATCGCGTAATCGTATGCGGCGCAGTGGTCATCATGACATGTAATAATCAAAGAGCAAGAAAAACAAGTAGAGGGGGGTACTGTGCTGTATAGAACTGTCCTCTACTGTAGAACTGAATGCTGAAATAATGCTCACAAGACCCGCTAGGTATACTCTCTAGTCCACCCGTCGCGGATTTCTTTGTAGTTGGTTCTCGGCTGCGGAACCGAAGGTCGCGGAATCGAATCCCGCCGGGTGCGGCAGCTGAATATTGGTGGAGGTAAAAATGGTGTAGGACCGTGTATTTTGCGACGACAGCGCACGGTATAAAGAAAACCAGATGGCTGAAACTTGCCGAAGGTGGCCGATTCTAAAGTGGTGGACACAATGGCCGCCCTTCTACGGCCCTTGGTGCCCCAGCATCGTCAATCTGTATTGAACCGCGCTTGGAAACCAATAACTGCCGCAGTGTTGCCAGGGCATCTCAGAGACTTTGTCTGGAGGTTGGGCTGGGGCTTGCTCCCCACACGAGATCGGTTGCAGCGATGGCAGGTGGTTCGCACTTCCACTTGCCCCAACTGCGTCATGGTAGAGACCAATCGACATGCGACGTTTGAATGTGTGGTTTCCCGCCTTTTTTGGCGTGCGGTTAATGCTTGTTTTCGGGGACAGGGTGTGCGAACTTTCGTGTCCAACGGCCGATTTCCGCGTAGCCGCTTCTCCGCTCTCTTAATAGTTGCGGGGCTGTTCAGCCTTTGGAGAAACCGATGTGAGGCCGTAGCTGCCAATTGCCGCCAGCGTGCCTTGTGGCCGATACTGGGGAGAATGAGACGAGAGATCCTCGCGTTCCTCTGCGAAGAGCTTTTCTTCCTCGGGGAGCAAGAGTTTCTGCGGCATTGGTCGTGCCCTTTCGTCAAGGTGGAACACGAAAGAATACAACTCATTTTTCGACCGACTTGGTGCTAAGCAGCGCCCGTTGAGTTGTTATATATGATTTCATTTGTTACAAATTGTGTTTCATTTGGATCTATTGTATCGTTATACCCTTGTATCGTGATATCACATTGAATTTTTGTGTACATGTATGCCAACATGATCATGTATATTAGAGCAAATGTCTTCACTGTAACGTAGTGATGTTAGTCGTGAAATATAGATGTGCCGAAGTGTATGTGCCCTGTTACTGGAATGGATATGAAGCCTTTGTATTCTGTACATGCTGTAAATAAACTTTTTCTAAACAAGACCTCCACTAAACGGGATCCGCCCATAATCATATCGTAAATTTTGCACCTTCTCTTTCTTACTCCTTTTCTATCTCTTTCCTTTCTATTATTCTTCCTTTCCCCCACCCCAAGTGTAATGTAGCCAACCGAGCCAAGCTTAGTTAACCTCCCTGCCTTTCTTCTTTACTTGGATGTACAACCCCATCAATCAATATTATTGTACTTTCTTTTTCTCCAAACGGCATCCACATACAACATATACGGAAATACACAGGTAGTGGCTCTTGGTTCGTCAAGGCCCTGTTTGGGAGCTCATGTTCAATGAACTTTGCATGGTTCCTTTACGCTTATCCTTTGTTTAACTGCTGTGACCGCCTGCATAACTGAGCACGTGCGGTCAGTCATCGCCCTTCTGAATTGCCCTTTTATTTATTATCTTCTTGACCATGACAGCCAGCTAAAGGCGATTGTACAGGAAAACGTGCATATGCGGAAACAGAGGCAACGGATCTGGCGAAGATGACAATATTGACATGCAAGACAGGGAAATTGGACTTCCCGGACGTGTACAAGTGGCACGTACAAGGGCGTTTAATATTCGTAAGACACAGTAACACCACAGAGACTAGAAAGATAGCATTCGACAAAGCCTCTAAGCGACACCACGTAGGCGCCGTATATATCCAAAAAACTATTCGTCGCTATGAGGAGACCTTCACGCAGCGGTACTCAGTTGATAGTGTACCGAGTGTACACAATATATAATACGTGCGTCTTAAGTACTATACTACACCATTACATATAAGCCATCGACGGCAGTGCACATGTGCAATGTATGGCGTCCTTTGAAGTTGGTGCCCCCTATTAACTGCTCCAGTCTTACGGCCCAAAACCACATGACTATGAGAGATGTCGACCATATCGGGATCTCCAACGTGTACCTGTAGAAGTCTAGGCACCAACATCGACATGCGGCTGCCGCTGCCGAGACACCTCTCGGTTATTAGTCAAGCACCATACATCCACTATATACCATGCCGGGTGGCGCCCTCTCTTCAAAAAGCTCGATAATGAGGCCGCCTTGCTTGAAGACATTGTCGGGGGTCAGTGCGTAAACAAAAAATCTATGAAAAAGAAAGCAAAACAAAAAGAAATGTAGGTGTGGCTCTACAGCCCTCACACGGCTCACTAATGATCAGCCATATGTGAATAAATCAATCAATCAATCTATCTATCTATCTATCTATCTATCTATCTATCTATCTATCTATCTATCTATCTATCTATCTTTCTATCTATCTATCTATCTATCTATCTATCTATCTATCTATCTATCTATCTATCTATCTGTCTATCTGTCTGTCTATCTATCTATCTATCTATCTATCTATCTATCTATCTATCTATCTATCTACTTCGTACCTGAGGCCTGAATTTATAGCTATACCCGGCCAGCGCGTGCGTCCGGCTATCCTCATGCATAACCTGGAAAGGTGCGAACCTGTTGGTTTTCTTTCGTTCTCTTTGTTTCTTCGCAACGCTTTGGAAGCGCGAAAGCGCTAGTGCATGCGGCTCAAGCCGCGATTACTCATACGAGCGCGCGACACCCGATGAAACGAGGGCGCGCCTCCCAAAGAGCCCCCCCCCCCCCTCTTCGTTAATAATGAACGCACGCACATCACGATCACATGTGGGTAGCTACATACGACGTTGGCTGCGCGTGCATACAACCACGGACGAAGGCGCGGAAAAAAACCGGCAGCGTCGTAGTTTTCCATAAGAGGATACGCATTAAAAAAAACTCTGTTGACGACAACTCATTTATAGTAACGAGATGGAATGAAGTATAGCGTTGCTGTACATCAGCAGATAATCGACAATGGCCCAATCTAGCAGTTTTTTAGCAGGTCTATACGACAGTTAGCAATAGTTAACAACACTAGTTAACAACAATATTCAACAACACTAAATAATAACACGCCAGTATTAGTCAGCGGAGTAACCCTTGCTGATAATAGGCGAGTAAATGCGGTAGCCTAAGATCGGCGAGAAGCGTTCGCTTTGTGTAGTTACGGAGTGTCGGAGGGAATGGCCGAGGAAGACATCTCCGAACTAAAAAGAAAGTTACACGAGCCACTCCTCTCTATGAAGGTGACTTGCGCGGAGCTCGGGTCCACTTCACCATGGCCTCCGAGATCGCGCGACGGCGGGAGGCCATGACTGCACGTTCGTGTTTGCTCTCGTCACCGTTCTTCATAAGCGCGCCGCTCATCGGGCGATCACACCAAACATGCGCAGCTGCTCACCAGGGGGCGACCACGACAACGCTACGCTAATGTATACCAAGATAAAACAACGACCGACAGGGTGAAACACCTATGTATACGTATCGCAGCTTTCAGAACCGAAGAAATTCAGTTCCGAGAACTGAAGTATCGGCTCAAGGAATTAGAAGCAAAACCAAAAGCAGCAACCGTGAAAGGTCAACGCACCCTCGTTAGCACGAGCTACTACCATGGCAACAATAAAACAAATTAATGGCGATAACGCGCTGTTGCTTTGTTTTCTTTCGGGCACTAGCGGCAGGGGCGGGGTTGCGGGCCGTTGGTGGGGGGTGTAAGCCTCAATTTAGTGGCTTTTAGAAGAGGGGGAGGAGTTGAATGAATGGGAGAGAGAGGCTGTTTCGTTGTGCTTTTGTCATTGCCATTGCGTCATGGAAACAATTTATATGAAAGGGGTGACCACCAGTTGGCGATACACATCAGCGATCTGTATCAGAGGTATAAAAGAGAGGTAAAACAAGAAAGAAGTTTCAGGCGCTGAAACAATTCAAAGTGAACTCACTTGTATACAGCGTTAACCCGCGAATTCTAAAGCAGCGGAGTGTTCTCATTGCCTTGTGCAACAACGGTAACAAAGCTGCCGGTTATCTTTCTTTGCTTTTTTTATTTTTTACGCACCATATCTTGTCATCTCTGTTCGCCAAGTTTCCGGTTACAGAGCATGCTACCCAGGTAAACATTAGTCTTATCTCTCGCCCCGCGCGGTTCTGTCGACTTGGCTGGGTTATAGGATGCTGCACAAAACCGCGAACACACAAAGAGTTAAAGCACTGATCATTGCGAAAAACCAGATAGCGACCTGCAAGTAAGCACGCTGAAAAGTAAGGACGCTAAAACAAGAAAAGAGGGAACGAGGGGCATGTCGACGAAAGTTCACGCGAAAGATAAGGTATATAGCATACGTGGTGTATGCATTGATTTGACGAAAAAATGCTGCACAAATGCACCACATTCTTTGTTACTTAGTTACGTTACTTTATTCGTTTCACTCTATATAAATCTCATCATATTATGTGGGGTTTAACGACCCTAATTCACCATATGATTATGAGAAAGGAGCGCTCCGTAAACTTTGACCACATTGGGTTCTTTAACGTGCACCCAAAT